CGTGTTCAAGGGGGTGTGGAGCTGACTTTCTTTAAACTACTCATTAACCGCCGATATATCGGTGTGCTGATTGACAGTGGTTCAACCACTAATTTCTTCTCTCCGAACGGGATTCGTAAGGCGGGCCTGGGTATGAAGCAAGTGGAACTGCAGATCCCTTGCCGGACTCAGGTGGGCAACCAAGAGGTTGTCACTTCCACTCATGCTGTCAAAGGTGTGCGCATCACCTTTGACAAAGATCGCACTGTCACACATGAGCTGAATTTTTATGTCCTGGACAAGTGTCCTTTCGACGCGGTCATTGGCTTGGGCTGGCTAAAGGCTCATTGCTTAAGGACCACGTGGGCGGACAATCAGTTCGTGGTACTTGATGCCAAGGGGAACGAGCGTACCGTCTTATTAGATGATAGAAGTGTTTAGAAGCAGAGTAGGGGCCCTTATAGACTCAGGGGCCACCCGCAGTTACATTAGCCGTAGGGCGCTCTACGCTCTCGTCGTACAATAGAGAACTCTACGCTCTCAGGCAGACTTTAGAGCACTGGAAGCATTATCTGCTTGGGAGGCACTTCAAAGTATATTCGGACCATGAGACGCATAGATGGGTAAAGACCCAGACCAAGATGACAGCTAAGTTAACTAGGTGGGCCGCTGAGATAGACCAATATGACTTTGAGCTCAAACCGGTCAAAGGCAAGTACAATGTAGTTGTGGATGCTCTGAGTAGAAGATCAGACTACTTTGGAGCCATAGTGCACTATCTGGACATAGGAAAGGACCTGCAAGAGAAAGTCCGACAAGAGTATGCGCAGGATCCTATCTATAGTGATCTCCTCAAGAGAGTTAAGGAGGCCCCAGAGACCGAACCAGACTACCGCACTACTGAGGGACTATTGTTTGGGAAGACTAATGTAGTAGACCGCCTGTGCATCCCCAAGAGTGAGGAGATCCGTAGTCTAATCCTAGGGGAATGCCATGACACAGAGGGACACTTCGGACTTTAGCCAATCTGATGAGACTTTAGCCAATGTGATGCGTGCGTATACCTGGTCAGGAATGAAAGCTGACTGCATAGAGTACGTTCGCAGTTGCAAAGTTTGCCAGCGAAACAAGACCACTACGCGTTCCTCTAGGTCTTCTCCACTGATTTTATGGATGCCGGTGTGAAGAGTAGACACGTCCAGAGCCATGTCATGGTCATAGTTGACCGATTTAGCGAGTATGAGGCACGTACGGATCTAGTTATACGAAAGTTCTTTGATTTTTGGGTTAGTGAGAATGGAGTCCCGCTGTCAATAGTTAGTGATAGAGAAGTCGCTTCACCAGCCAGAAATGGCAAGAACTCATGGGAGTTTACGGATCTAAGTTGTTGATGTCGTCTGGCCGCCACCCAGAGACCAACGGTCAGACCGAGCAAATGAACAAGATCCTACAGCAAGTTCTGCGCATGTACATTAGACCCGACCAGATCAACTGGGACGAGATGTTGCCTAAGGTCGCTAGCGCATACAATAACAGCGTGCATCTGTCCACCTGTCGCACTCCCAATGAGCTGCACAAGTCCTTTGGACCGCGCAGACCATTTGAAGGACTGAACTGGGATCAGGTTCATAGGCTACCGCCCGGTACCAGGGAGTTTGCGATACAGCACGAGAAAGAATTAGCTACCGTTGTTGAAAACCTCAGGAAGGCCCAATACAGAATGATAGAACAGGCTAGTAAGCACCGTCGCCCCTCGGAGTTTCAGGTAGGCAACCTAGTCTGGGTCAAGTCTAAAGAGTTTGCAACTGAGGAGCACATTTCGCAGAAGTTACTACCTGCATATAGAGGACCGTGGCCGGTTCTAGAAGTCAAGGGCGGAGAGGATGGGCCGTCCTACACAATAGAAATTCCAGTACACCTCCACACTTACCCTGTATTCCATTCCTCAAAGTTGTTGCCTTGTGTCACAAGTCAACAATTCCCTTCAAGAAGATCCATGATCCCACCGGATATGGATGGAAGATATGACATTGACGCCATTATAGATGAAGATGTGTTCAGGACAGGAGGTAGAGGTCATCCACAGAAACTGTATAAGGTCTGGTTTGCTTATCAGGAACCGGAAGAAGACCGCTGGTTTACTAGGACAAAACTTCTAGAAACAGCTCCCGACATAGTCAGAGCCTATGAGCGTGATAAGAAGGGTAAAGGTCCGGCCTTGGACTGAAATATTCTCGGAGGACCTTGAATTTAGGACGGCGGGAGTGAAACGGTTTTCACCTCTTTGCAGTAGCAAACGCAGATCCCAGGGTTCGATCCCTAGACCTTGCCCTACCTGTGTACAGTACCTGTGTATACCCCGAAACTTGAACCTGTGAACCTGTGTATTCGTAAACAGTGGGTAGGCTGTCGTAGGTCCGTAGGTAGCAAGGGTTCGGTCTGTAGACCTGTAGAATAGAAGTCTTAGCGAGTTCCAGAAGTCTTAGCTGTAGCCCTTCTAGAAGGTCAGCAAGTGGGCAAGTGGTGAGTCAAGTGGTGGACTAACTGCAGTGCAATTGCAGTATGACCTCGGTAGGTTAGCAGTGAGTCCCCACTCAGTCAGCGGTAAGGTCCAGTCAGTCCCAGTCCGGTTCAGCAAGTACCACAAGGGACTGTGAGCACCATGGGCCGATGGCAAAGGGCAGACCAACGAGTTTCAGAAGTATAAATCAAGAGGCAGCGCCCAGCCATTCATTCATTCCTGCGTGAGCCATGCGGAAACGTTGCCACAGCGACTTGTGCAAGGAGGTCTGCAGTGAGCCCGGAGCTGAAGTGGGCGAGAGAGATGGAGCGTAGCATAGCGATAGGGTAGTTGCGGCCATAGCCGTCATAGCTAGAGTTAGTGTGTAGTGAGTCTGTGTGTGTGTGTGTGAGTTCAGAGAGTCGCGTGTGGGATATCCAGGGTGATCCGGTGTATGCGAACAGTGAGTTGTTTGGGCGCTGAGTCGCCATAGCCAATTGAAAGTGAACTTATATCTGGATGCCATATCTCTGAGTTTTGAGTGGGCGCATGTCGCCAGTTTGCTGCGCTACTGTTTACATGCATGAAAAGTGTGAATGAAAGCGAGTCTGATTGCAGGAGGTCCCCATTTTTTTCGCTTCTCTCTTGTCGTATTTGTTGTCAGAAATGGTTAGCATCATTAGATGTAGGTCTATATTTCCGTCATTTCGGGAGGCCGACTAGATTTGGTCGCCTGACACCGGGATAGAGTCCAACGGCTACCCCCAGGAGCACAAGAGTTTGCAGTTCTGTATGAAGAAGATGTAAGGAAAATCAAGGAAAACATTCAAAAAGACCAACTTCAAATGATTAAATAGGATAACAAACATCTTTGGCCATCAGAGTTCAACGAAGGAGATCTTGTTTGGGTCAAGTCTAAAGAATTTTCCTTGGAAGAAAATGTATCACAGAAGCTTCTACCTGTCTACTACGCACCCTGGGAAGTTATGAAGGTGATTGGGGATACTGATGGACCATCATACAGAATAGCCGTAACACCACACCTTAAGACATACCCTGTTTTTCACGCGTCTAAGCTACTGGCATATGTAGAAGGACATGATTTTCCCACCAGGCCATATATGTTTCCTCCTCCAGCCATATATGTTTCCTCCTCCAATGGATGGTGGCTATGAAGTTGAGAAGATACATGGATATTTTTCTACAAGTGGCAGAGGAAGACCACATAAGCAGTTCAAGGTAAGGTTCAAGTCTCAACCCCCTTCCAAAGCTGGTTGGTTCAGTAAGAAAGTGCTTTTACCTACTGCTCTTGATATAGCATATGCATATGAGCGTGGTTTGAAAGAGAACTAAGTTTAAAGAATTTCTGCGATGGAACTCCAAAATTGGGCTGGCAGGAATGCAGTAACCCGCTCAAAAATGTCTATGTTGTCGGCCAAGGGGGCCACCCGCAGGCCACAAAACGGCCCTCAGGCCCTACGTCCGACTGTGGGGAACAGAACCCCTGAAACCTGGCTTCAGAGGCCCTGCGCCCTTCAGTTGACCGAAGTCAACTGTATGTCGGAATATTGAGGGTCACAAGTAGTCTTCATGGACCGAGTCCAGGCCGCCGATGAGACACACACACTTGGTTGTACACAGGTATCCAGACAACATTCGGTCGAAGTGGAAGTCTGCAACTGTACGAGATCCAGGCTGTCGGCTGTGAGTCAATATGCGCATCCGTACGTGAGAGACCAGAGGCTGGTCAACTTCGTCAACACTATTTATTGACCCTGCCCCTGTGAGACTGTGGCTTTGCGTGCTGGCGCCTCTCTGCCTCTGGGGCCAGCTGTCTTCTTGTATGCTGATAAGGCACTTGCCACGCTGTCTTCGACATTGCTGACGTGGCGCATGCCACACTGTCTTTATTACTGATTGGAATGCGACAAGGAGGTAGATCGGGATCTGTGGGATTGATTGAGTGAGAGAGAGGAGACTTACCTGTTGATTCTGTCGACATTGCGCGCTGCAGAGACATTTCATGGGGGATCTGTGCCTACGAGGCACTACGTTGTGATCAGATCTCGTCAGGCTCGTTTCTGGGACACTGTTTGCTGACGTGGAGGAGAGGAGATGCCCGAAGAAGAAGTGGAGATTGAGGGGTTTCTGTCTATGTGGACATTGATGGATACTTTTTTCTTCCATCCTAAGTCTATTCTCCCACTCTCCTCCTTCGTCCTTCAGTTATGAGACATTGTACTATAGATCACATTTCATGATTATTGGAGACATTTATCAGCGCTGAGTTATCTTGTATTTCGACACTTGACGAGTTTCCTCCAGACTGGGTTCATTACATGATTTAAACATTGTGGAAAAGGACTTGTTCCTTGCCTTTCAACATCTTGCTTGTGGAAATGGAGTTCTTCCCTATAATTTGTATAGGAAGTTTGGTTCCTTATCTCACATGTTCCCTGGTGGTAGTTGAACGGTCGTGCTGAACTGTGTGGTTGGGTGCTGGGTGGCCTCTTCTCTGCAGGCAGTCATGCTGTTTTATCTGCAACAGTATGGTCAAGTGGCAAAAATACTAGAGCCATTGTCACATAACTTGGAGCCTTTAGATGAGGTGAGTATGGAAATGGGGGTATTGCCAGGGTTGGTATTAGTAGGGACTGGATTGTGATCAAGAATAACATGTGTTTGGCAAGTGGCAATGTTGGGGGGGAAAATGATAAATTCAAACAATGGCACAAGAGCTACTTATCTGCAATGTATGATGAGTGCAGAAGAATGCGTGGAGAGTAGCCCTGAGGATGTGACACTGTGGGGCTCCTTTTTCCAGTGAACCATTTAGTAAGCTATGTATTGTAGAATGTGTGTACAACTCTCCCACAGTGCACATGCAGCCCCCATGCTACATTCGTTCTCGTTTTGTGGTGCAAAAAGCAGAAGTCATGGTACGTGACAGGTGTGACGGTTTGCGGGTCCCTAGTACTACATACTGGACGAATTTCATGTACAGTCCATTGTGCAGATATAATCTACACAAAGTCTATACACGGTCTATGAATAGTCTATGTGCAGTCCATAGTACATACTGGCCAAGTTTCATGTACGTAATCCATTGTGCATATTTATTATTTAGTCTATACCATACTTGCAACCGCACGAGCTGCACCCGCACAGACCGGATCCGTGCGGAGATCCGTACAGGGGGTGCTCGATCTCCGCACATTCCGCACCCGCACAGACCGGATCCATGCGGAGATCCGTGCGGGGGGTGGCCGTGCGGATTTTTATTATTATTATTATTATTATTATTATTATTATTATTATTATTATTATTATTATTATTTTTTAAGGGGGGTCTGAGGGGTCCGAAAGGCGTTACCTGTGCTGATATGACTGAGAACCACAAATAGTGAAATTTCAACTGAGTTTCAAGCTTCAACTTTGAAGTTTGGAGTTTGAACTCCAACTGCCAACTACGACATTGCAAGAATATCAAATTTCATGCAGCGGGTGGGGTTGTTCGGTCGGTACACACCTGTTCATGTTTGTAGATGCAGAAACACTGCATCTGAGTGCCTCATCATGAAAACAGACAACTGCAGAGGGACACAGTGTCAGAAAGTCAAAGTTGTCGGACACATCACGAAGAAACCACAAACAGCCTGGGACAAGACAATGCGAGGCCACTGCCTCTATGAGCCCCATTCAGCCCCTTTCCGGGAGCCTGTCGGCTGCCCTAAGTGAAGGCAGGCTCGACTAGGCCCCTCAGGGCCTTACTTCGGCCTCTGCGCAACTCAAGGAAATTCAGGCAGTTGCGCAGCGCCAGTTGGTTGAGTGAACCCAGGCCCTGGGCCGCCTGTGTGAATGTATGTGAAGCAGGCSCTGGGCTGGATACRKGTACTGGGCCAAACACAGGCCAAAGGCAGTTGGGCACATGCAACCACCTCAGGCCCAAGGCCTGTTTTCGTCGAGCTGGGCCTCAGGCTACCGGGGCCTACTGGAAGCTTCCTGGGACTGCACGCAGGCAGGCCACTTCGATATAGCAAAGGGCCTGCCTCCGTATTCGACATTCGGGTGCTGGCTGCATGCTGCGCAAGCGCTGCTGCGCTATTTGCTGGCTGGCGCCTACGCTCTCACGGGCGAGCAGGGAAGGAGCACGCAGCCATAGCCGAGCTGTGCTGCTGTAAGCTGGGTGAAGCGCAGGGTGGTCCTTGGGTGCTAGTGGCATCTGTGTGTTGGGGAATGAGGTTGTGAGGGTAGCGAGAGACATACCTGGTTCTGGAAGTGTGCGACATTGGTCGCCATATGCTCACACTTCAGGAATGCTGTTGACGTCATCTTTCGGTATCTTAGTGTAGGCTAGATAGGATCTGCCACATGTAGTCTGGGCGCCGAGCGCCAGATAGGATATCAACTCTGGTTCTTCGTTGATGATGATGGGACTATTTCAGCATTGTCAATTATGAACTCTTGGTGTGTTCTTATTTGGTGAATCTCGTGATGCAATTCTGCTGTTGGTTTGAGGTCACGACTATCTGGGCTCATATGCATGATGCTGTTTAATTGCTGAAGTTCGCTATTGCTCATCTTCCTTGCAATTTGGTATTGGTCTGCTGGGCGAGTTTGGCCGTAAGTGGTGTGTAGTGAGGAGGGTGGAGATGAGTGTATAGGCGACCCAGGAGGTGAGGGGATCGCCAGGAAGGCTACGTAGGGTGAAATGTGGTCTGGGCAGAACTATCTAATGTGCGATTGATGCTGAGGTGGAACAGCGAGATAATGCTGGTTGTGCCGATGCAGTGACTGGTCATCTGGTCATCTGGTGAGATTATCTCAGTGGTTGGGGGCAGCTATTTGAGGTACGTTGCTCTTAACCTTATCTACCCTCTCTGACACTTCTTACCGTGAGGTTGTGTGTTCCTTTTTGAGAGTCCTCTCATTGTAAGGTGTCGAGTGCGCTCAACCTTGAGAGTCGGCAATGTTCACGTGGAGCATCTGGGAGAAGATGGGCGGAGCTTTCTGAAGGGCCCTGGACGAAGCACTGGGTCACGGTCACCATGCCAACCCACAGGGAGTAGAGCACGCATGCCTTGCTGCTTGTCCTTTGTTCGGCTGCTGCGCTGTAGATGGGTACTGTTGGGCAGGCCAGCCCTTGAGGGAGACTAGACCGGGCGTCTTTAAATAAGCACCGGAAGGGGAACCATTGGCTGTGATCGTCGTTTGGCTGCGACGTAAAAGAATTCCTGGAGGCACTTGGGGGCGGACGTTAAATTGCCTGTGGATCAGCCAATGGTTGTAAGGCTCGCTGCACGCGAGGATAATCCAGTGCAGCGCTGGCCAGCTCAGCAGATACTCGGGGCACAGGGGTGGGCCGGACACACACCTTTAGACACGTGACGCTCTCCATATTGCTCAGGGACGCTGAGGTCAAGTGATACTCGGAGGAACCAAGGGAGGGGTTGATTCCAGGTGATAAGTTCGAGAAAATTCCATGTTGTCCTATCCACACAAATGATTCTATTTTTATGTTTTGACTAGTTAGGTGTACAACCATTGACATCTGACAGACAACATTAGTTAGAACTGTTTATTGTTCCTGGTGCTTCTGTTTGCGGACTAGTCAGACTAAAAATAGTTTCGTTTGTAGGAACCTGGACTGACTTGTTAGAACCCGAATGTATCTGCTCCAGAATAGTCACCAATTAATTATTTATTTATTTTAAATTGGTCTGTGCACTCTGTTGAGGTAGGCATCTTAAGTGACCTAGTGTAGACGGTGCACAATGCTGTAGCATATGAGCGACAGGGAGGACACACCACCGGACGACCGGATCTTGCGATCAGCTAGACGCCCGGTAGCAAATGTGTCCTTAGGACCGGAGGGTGATAGGATTCTGTTCCGCCAGCTTAGGGAGAGGCAGCAGCTGCAGAGGAGAGCTAGAGCAGCTGAGGCCAGCAGGGCTTTCGCTAGCGAGGCCGCTGCTACAACAGCCATGGCCACTTCCGGTATGGTCACTTCTGCGCAGCAAACTTCCCAGGCCAGCAGTTCAGGTATCGTCGGGTCAATGGTCGCGCAGTCCTCGAGTCAGTCCACTGGCGTTATGGCAAGCCAGGCAGCAGTGTTGACCTCAGAGGATGTCGCCATCCAGCAGGCAGCCCTGGAGGAGGCAAAGTTACAGCAGGCATTAGGACAGATAAAAGCGGAGAAGGAGAAGATGATTAGAAGAAGAGCCAGGATGCAGCGGAGAGGGGCAGACATAGAGGAGTTAGAAACGATGGACCTGACGAACATGAATGATGATGTGAGGGTAGTTAGGAGGGCCCTGCTAGGAGTAATAGAGATGCATGAGCATCTGACTACCATCCTTCACGATATCCAACAGAGCCTAGCCATTTTGGCAGGGCGCGCTCAGGCGGCACCATCACCATCCGGGCCTGGTGCCTGGCCCGTGCCATATCCTCCTTTTTCTATTCCATCGGTGACAGGGGTATCCCCATATGTAGCCACGTCATCGGTTGCGATCGTTTCCTTGGGCATGCCGCTGTCAGGAGGGGTATCAGCAGGGACTAGTTTGCAGGCTCCTGTTCAGACAGTGTTCACCCAAACTCCATCGCAGGTTGCAGTCACCACGCAGCCTGCTGTCTCACAGCCTGTGCAGCCGCAGGGCACACAGCCCCAACAGCTGGCACAACAACCTGTGTCACAAGGTCCACAACCCATAGTGATGCAGGGACCGGGACAGACATAGTGGGTTCCAAAGACGACCATCGCCGCTCCCAAACCTTTCACAGGGGATAAGAGGGGCGAAGACCTCGACACGTGGTTGAGGGCAGTGCCCGTCTACGTCAGGTGTTTGCCGCACGAAGAAGTGCTTGTGGCTGCTTCCTACCTAGAGGGTAGTGCAACAAGATGGTTGAGTGGTTTAGTGCAGCTCAAGGGGTATGGTCATGACTTCCGCGCTTGGGCGGTCACCCAGAAATTCGAGGACTTCCTGAAGATGGTGGAGGACAGGTGGCACGATCCTCAGGAGGCCCAAAGGGCCACTGATGCGATGCTGACACTGCACACGCAGCAGTTAAGTCAGTAAGGGAAGCTACTGACGCTGTTGAGTGTCTAATCTGCGTCCCAGGGGTGCGCTATGACCCCCAGGTCTTACTTGCGCTATGACCCTCAGGTCTTACTTACCTCGTACCTGAGATGCTTTTCATTGCCTCGCAGGAACCAGTTGTTAAGGGAGGCCAACATCAATATGCACAACTTTCCTTCGTTCAACAAGATGGCCCTAGACCTCGAGGCTAAGATAGGGCATGGGCAGGCACCCACTACGGATGGGAGGAAGAATACACTGCCTCCTAACTGGAAGGCGAAGGGTCGCTTAATGTTTGTCTATAATGATCGTTCCACTATCGAAGTAGACGAACACTTCCAGGAGGGAGTAGGTTCAGAGGCGGGCAGCGTAGAAAGTTCAGAGGGTGGAGTGGTCGCTGCCGTAGGTCAAAAAGGAAAGGCGACCGGTAGACGCCGTGGAGGCTCCCGGTCTAGGAGTCAAGTTGACCCCAACGCTCCTCCATGGGAGAAAGCAGGTCTTACAGAGGACGTGTGGAGAGACCGTTACTCACGGTAGGCGTGTATTCGTTGTGGTCAATATGGCCACAACCAATTCAGGTGCCGCAATAACAAGGTGACATGAAAGATCCCGCCTACGATGGGGTAGGTGTTGGGATCCTCTCATCCCGTTGGTAGCAATGTTGCTAGTTCTTCTGGCAGTGCTCCGGGAAACGCATCGGGCCAGTAGGAATAGTAGTTGTTCCTGCTAGGGTCGAGGTGGTGGAGACACCCTCACCATCTCGAGAGATGGCCCAAACTACTGACTCAAGTGTCATCCCGCACACACGTTCAGACCCATTGAGCCTCTGTTCGATGAATGTGTTTGAGTCCTTAGAGGAGCTAGAGGTGGAGTGGTCTAGATCAGACCCGCTAGCTTCTTGGACGGCCTTAGTCAAAGCCTTGAAGGGTGAGATGTTCGTCAGCGAGGTAGTCATTGGCGCCGCAAGGCCGGGGCCTATTATGCCACTTGCTCGACAAGGAACTTTATTAGTCGCGCTTGCGTTGAGAGGCTGCGTTTAACGGGGCGAGTGCAGCGCCTGAGTCGACCTGTGGAGTCGACCTGTGGAGTCGACCTGTGCCAACAAACAGCGCATGGTAGTCAACGACTACCTCCAGGATGTCGAGTGTTGTCTCCCGTACGTGGGAGGGGAATTGAGACATCACGTCTCGTTCCTAGTGAGTGATGAGCTCCCAATGGATATGTTGTTAGGTATGTACAACCTCTCTGTGGCACCGAAAAGTGGTCAAACACACTTTGCCATGAGGAGGGACCGCCAGATTACACAAGTTCAAAGCTAGTAGTCTGATTGAGTCCTACGGGTGCATGTGTGCGGCCGCGTTCTACAATTATTATAAGCAAAACTAGAAGGAGGGTATGTACTTAGTCTATGTCTCTGCTGCAGGCGAGCCGGTGAAAATGCCGCCGGAGATAGAGGGAGTAGTTGCCAAGTACTCTGATCTATTTGAAGAGCCGACATGGGTTGTAGAGAGGGAGGTCGTCCACGCGATAGAGATTATCCCAGGGTCTAGCATCCCGAAGGGTAGGATCTATCGGATGTCTCTAGGCGAGCTCGATGAGCTTCGCCACCAACTCAAGGAACCCGTAGAGAAGGGTTGGATCCGGCCGAGTGTCTCTCCTTATGGATCTCGAGTACTATTCGTACCTAAGAAGAAGGAGGGTTCACTTAGGATGTGCATTGATTATAGGGGCCTCAATGCCATCACTGTAAAGAGCAGAGAGCCCCTACCGCGCATCGACGATCTGCTAGATAGAGTGCAAGGGTGCCGGTACTTCTGCAAGATAGATCCGAAGTCCGGGTACCATCAGATTGCAATCCGGCCCGAGGATCAACACAAAACCGCCTTTCAGACCAGGTACGGTCTGTACGAGTTTGTGGTGATGCCTTTCGGCCTTTGCAATGCTCCTGGCACCTTTCAGCACGCTATGAATCAGATATTCCATGACTACTTAGATAAGTTTGTCATTGTGTACCTTGATGACGTACTTATTTTTAGTAAGACTGTCGAGGAGCATGTTGCACATTTGGACAAAGTCCTCAGTCTCCTGCGACAGCACAAGCTCAAGATCAACGGTGAGAAGTACGAGTTTGGCCGCACCCGTGTCTTGTACTTGGGTCATGAGATCTCCACGGAAGGGTTGAAGCCCGATGACGCGAAGGTGGCCAGCATTCGTGATTGGCCACGTCCTCAGTCTGTGACTGAGATGAGATCTTCCTTAGGAATGACAGGCTACTATTGGACCTTCGTTAAGAACTATAGCATACTGGCCGCTCCTTTGACTGATCTGACGCGCTTTGACACCCCATGGGAGTGGACAGACGAGTGCGAGGCTGCTTTCAGACATCTGAAGCATGCGTTGACGCACTACGAGGTCTTGAAACTTCCTGATCCTGATAAGCCATTTATAGTCACCACGGATGCCAGCCAATATGGCATTGGCGCCGTGCTCGCGCAGCAGGAGGGGCCAAAGTTGAGGCCTGTAGAGTACATGTCCAAGAAAATGTTGTCTCAGAAGTTGGCTAAGTCCACCTATGAGAAGGAACTCTATGCGGTTTACAAGGCTCTGACCCATTGGAGGCACTATCTCCTTGGGAGGTTCTTCATCCCCAGGACTGATCATTAGACCCTGAGATGGATGAGAACTCAGCCTGTATTCTCTGACGCCTTCAAGCGTTGGATCGAAGTCATCGAGCAATATGACTTTGACCCTCAGTATGTGAAAGGGGAGTACAACAAGGTTGTTGATGCCTTGTCGCGTAGACCTTATTTCTCAGGTGCGCTGATTACTGAGTTCGATGTGACGGACAGTGTTACTCAGTCTTTGGTGGAAGCCTATCGCGAGGATCAGTTCATGTCTGAGATCATACACAGACTTGAGGCGAAAGGCAAGAAGACTTCTGCTGAGTTTGAATTGGTCAAGGGCTTGCTGTTCCTTGAGAAGGACGGGAATAAACGATTGTGTGTCCCAAATAGCGGGTCTTTGCGTAATTTGTTTTTAGGTGATTGCCATGATGCCACAGGCCATTTTGGGTACAAAAAGACCGCAGCCAATCTGCTGCAGCGGTTCTGGTGGCCCACAATGATGCGAGTTGCCCAGCTGTACGTGGAGACTTGTCAAGTTTGTCGAAGGGATATCCACGCACTCAGGCCCCTCTTGGGCTCTTGAAGGCCTCCCCAACCTTTATCCTGTTTTCTCTTTTTTTTTTTTGCTCAGTGCGCAGCACGGCTCGCCTCTTGCTACTTCTATCGTTAGGATGAGCAAATCGGAATGAATCTTCCGCTAAATTACGTTTTTTTTTTTTTTTTCACTCGCAGCTCAAGACCTCTGCACCGCTATTCCCACACTCTAACTTCCGAATCCGACTCCGCCATCTCTAATTTATAATGGTAAAAAACCCCGCAAATTTCCATTAAGAATCGGACGATCTACACAGTTTGCAGTTCCACCATACTGATCATCTCCACCTCTCCGCTCGATGCCTTTCTCTACTAGCTGCTAATTTACTAATCTATTGGTTGAACTAATCTTACCTATCAACTCGCCTACCCTCAAAACCCCCACTTACCATCTTCTTTTACTCGATTCCACAAAGAATCGAGTGAATGATCCCCCACCACAGCCATCTTCCGCCATCTCTCGGCGCACCGTGTTTCTCACTAACGTCCTACCCCACTAATCTAACAGTCATTTTGACCTTTCCATTTGCTTCGCCCGAGGCCAAAACCCCAGGATTGCTCCTTCGCTCCTACTTCTCTGCTGCGCCCGAGCTCACCCTTCACCATCTTGATTCCTTGATTCACCTAGCGCGAATCCGCGGTGGGTTCATTTCGTCGTTTTCACCCCCTGCCTTCGCCCGTCGCTCGCTCTGCCTGGCTGCCCAGCTTTCACCCACTGCTGCTATCGCCCGTATCCACTCTGCACGCACCCGGCACCGTTTCGCGCCCGGGTTCACGCGCCGTCCTCACAGCCTCTGCGTCCGCTACTCCGCTGCCCCCACTCTCTTCCTGCGCTAGCCTCCGTACTCCCTCGCTCTCCGGAGTTCGGCCTGCTTCTTCGCTTGCACCTGGCGCAGTTTGTCGGCCAGGTTCGGTCTCCTTTCTCCGTTGCCTCTGTTGCCTCCTCCTCCTTTGTTGTGCCCTGCCCCCGCTCTGTTCGTCGTTGCCCCTTCTGCTCAGCGCCTCTCTGGCTCATGCCAACTTCAATCCCACTGCTGCGCTCTCTGCTCAGCTTCGAGTGGAAGTGAAGCCGCCCAACCTCCTTCCTTTGCTGCCCGTCGCCCTTCCTCTCCGTTGCCAACCTGCGCCCGACACAGACCGATCGCGCGTCACTCTTCACAACCAGCAGGCCGATGGTTGTGAAAGCGGGAGCCCGCTAAGGAGTGTGTAACACTCACTTGCTGGATCCATCAGCCCGACCGGATGGCACTGCAGCGCGTGGGGTGGCTCCACTACTGCGGCAAGTGGGACTACACAGGGCCTGCTGCAATCCCGCAGTGTGAGCTAGGTGCAACGGGTCCCGTTATAGATCGTTAGTGGTAGTAGCGAAATTCTTCAAATGAGAACTTTGAAGCTTGGAGTGGAGACGGTTCCGTGCGAACGCAGCCTGCCGCAGCCTCGCTGCAGTCTCCCCACAAATGCCCCAGGCCGCTCCGTTGTCTAACGCCCGCTGCCAATAACTCAGCGCCGACAATCCCCCTAGGTGGCACTAAGCGGAGACTGCTGACATTCATAGGGGGAGGGGACCGGAGGGGAGGCAAAGCGGCCGGCTCATCGAAGAAGCTTGGTCCCGATGCTACCGGCTGTCCCCAGGCCGGTATCCCCCCCTGCCGCAGCAGGTATCTCACCCGCTAGTGGGTGCAGCTCCCGCATGTTCCCTCATTGGGGACTTGAGCACGAATGTGGTTGCTACGGGGTTCCCCATAATGCTATACAGGGCTAACTTTGGCGCAGTCACGAAAACAAATTGTAGTCGCACCCCAGGCAATCCCGCGAATACAACACCCCCACGCGACCTCACCGGACCCGAAACGCAGGTCATATACATTCTGCATTACCGACCCTTTTGCCTCGAGGGCACTTACACTTTCAAACCCTGATAACGCCCTGTCCTCATCAACGGCGCGGTAGAGGACTTTCGCCGACATCCCGAACACACGACCTGTCAAACAGGGCGCGCACTCAAGGCCCTTGTCTGCCATGACGGCGACCTATGTCCGACAACGGCCCTCAGAGCTGATTACCAAAGTAGAAACAAATAAAAACGAAAAATAAAATTAGTAGAACCAAAAAAAAAAAAGTGAACGCCGCCCACACCCAGGCTGTGCATGGCCACGTCTCGCCGTCAATACCCCGCGCGCGCCGCTCACCCAGACGAGGACCCAGGAATTGGTTTCGCGTGTGCCGTCAGACGGGCGAGGCTGCTTTCGCGTGACTCGCAGACAACACGCCTACGACAACGTCGTTTTAGAGCGGCTCCGTATCGCCAAGTACAAGGCAAACTGCGACAAGTGCGAGTTTGCCCAGCAAGAGCTGGAGTATTTTGGCCATTACGTTACGCCGCAAGGCATTTGTCCGCTCGTGGACAAAGTACAAGCCATTCAAGATTGGCTGGACCTCGCCTGTACTACCGACGTTCGCTCCTTTCTCGGCTTTAGCGTCATGCCACATGCGCTTCATCAAGACCTTCCAACGGATCGCTGCACCATTGTCGCGACTTTAGTCGCCCTTGGTGCCCTTCGAGTTCAACGACGGAGCCCGACACGCGTTCCATACGCTGAAGACGACTTTGCTTCAAGCTCCCGTCGTAAGCATCTATGACCCGACCTTGCCTACAAAAGTAACTACGGATGCTTCCGGTTACGGCACTGGCGCGGTTTTGGAACAACATCAGGTTGAGTACTTGAGCCAAAAGGTGTCGCCCATCAATTCTCTTTGATGATGCGAGGAAGACGAAACTGCTAGCTTTTGTCACAATACTTGAGCGTTGGCGTCATTTTCTCCTTCAGCGTTGGCGATTCACGTGGGCAGCGGACAACAATCCGTTGGCTTATTACAAGACGCAAGACACCGTGAGCAGCACGATCGGTCGGTGGATGTATTTTATTGACCAGTTCGACTTCACCTCCAAGCATATTCCGGGCCCCTTAAACAAGGCAGCGGATGCTCTCTCGCGAAGACCCGATCTTTGCGCTTTGGTGCACTCCACATTCGGCTTCGACGAGGACCTGCAACAACATTTCGTAAACGGCTACAAGTCTACTCCACACTCTACACGGACTTATCATCGGATCACTCGCCCGCAAGCAATTATCGCATTGTTGACGGCTACTTGCTTCTCCATTTCCGAGGCAAGGATTTGTTGTGTGTTCCCCAAAACCGCATCTTGCGCACTTGCCTCCTTGGCGAATACCACGATTCGCGGCTGGCGGGACACCTTGGCGTCGCACGCACACTAGCATGACTCCGCCAGCAATTTCACTGGCCTAACATCATCAGCGACGCCCACCGGTACATTCAGTCATGTGCAGTTTGCCACCGGAACAAAGGGCGCCATCAGCTAACATACGGTGAACTGAAACCATTGTCGATTCCTCGGGGACCAGGTCTCTCCATTGCTATGGATGTGACCGGTCCTTTCCCTCGCGATCGCCTTGGCCATGATGGTATTCTCACAGTCGTTGACCAATTGAGCAAGTACGCTCGATTTCTTCCATGCAAGTACCATGCGACGGCTCCCAAGCTCGCACGACTCTTGCACACCGGCTGGTTTTGCAGACACGGCGTTCTGGAAGACATCGTCAGCGACCGCGACACTCATTTCATGTCAGCCTTTTGGACGACACTCATGGTGGAATCCGACACCAGCATGAAACGGAGTTCTGCACGGCATCCTCAAACGGATGGGCAAACGGAACATGTGCACCAGACTGCACAGATGATGCTCCGCACACTCAGCCGCCCGGATCAAAAGGACTGGGTTGACCGACTTCCCGACATCGAGTTCGCCTACAACACTTCGGTGCACCGGGCGATCGGCGTGATTCCATTTGATTTACATCACGGTGGACGAAAAGGCCGCATCTTCGCAGACATTTTGCTAACACGAGCTGCCGATATCAACTCCGCTTGCTCCCCCGCTTCTACACGGAAGTACAGGGATCTGCTGGCCAAAGCCCGCAGAAATATGCAAAAGGCTCAGGTCCGTATGCAGCAGCAAGCAAATCGGCGTTGCATCCCATGTCCAATCCGCACTGGCGACCTTGTTTGAGTCACCTCTGAGGAATTCGTGCTCGAGCAGCACGTCTCGCGCAAGCTCCTCCCTAAGTGGTTTGGGCCATGGAAGGTCACTTCAGCAGCTGGCGACGACCCCGCGGGTGACACAACATCTGACAGTCCACCTTGTATTTCACGCTTCGAAGCTGGCGGTCTACACTTCAGCCTCGCGAATGGATTTCCCTGGCAGACGGTCCCACGACCCTCCTTCGATGGACAGTCACCAGGAGGTCTACTGCGTCCTCGCTCATCGCAAGCACGACAACAAGTCGATGCAGTACAAAGTTACATTCAAGCAATGCGATCCCGACGACACACGCTGGATTTCACGAGCTGACCTGAAGGCGACAGCACCCCTCATCTTCGCGCATTACGAAAAACAGCGACTTGCTAAGGAAGCTGCCCAACCTGCTCGCCCCCTACGAACATCAGACAAACAGCTTCGCCCTTGCAGTTAGCTCGGTCTTCAAAGGGGGGAGTGTGTGGCATTCTGAGCCACAAGGGCCCCAGTTAGGGCCCGGTTTCGTCTAGGTCAGGGTACGGCGGTTCAGTTAGAACCCGGAGGCCTAGGTGTAGGGGTCTAGACAGGCCCAATGGTCACATCGGTTCAGGCCGGTACCGGTCCAGCAGTAGGACCTACCAGCGGCACAGTTTTGAACAGCGGCCAAGTTAGGCCGCCACTTTCAGTTTCCGGCAACGGATCTGAACCGTTGAATCAGATCAACGGTCCAGACCCAAGGTACCAGCAGCGTTGAGGCTGGCCCAGCACTATATCAGCCGGGTACCAGCCTCAGTAGGTAGGTTAGTCGACAGGAGGTTAGGCTTGAGGATTAGCGCAGCGCTTCAGCGTTAGCATGAGCAGGAGCGAATTAGCGCAGCGGCGGAGTAGCGCCAGCCTCTGGCCCAGCCCGCGGCCCAGCGCCGAGCCCTGCAGCGCCATAGGTGCATTGCCAGGTATCAGGGAGAAAGGCTTCGCCTTTTCTCCCTCTTCTTCCTCCTCCTCTCTCTCTCTCTCTCTCTCTCTCTCTCTCTCTCTCTCTCTCTCTCTCTCTCTC